ACATTGGAATTGGCCGAAAATAGGGCTCAAAGTGGGCGAAATCACCGATGTGTAAACATCGTCGAGACCGCTAGCTTCGCAAGAGCATAATTCCCTAAGTTTTCCATTAAATTTCATACTTTTGGTGTCATTATGTTCAGGAAAAGATTCTCTATGATTTCATAAGATTTTTTTTTTTCCGAAAATTTTCCGACCCTGAGAACAAGTTTAGGAGAGGGCCTGCCGACCCTGAAAGGGTTAATTAACCCTATGAGGGTCTAGACCACCAACCCAAAAATTCCCCACAGTGTCCAAGAATTTAAAAAAAAAAAAAAATTCTTATGAAATGACAGAGAATCTTTTTCTGATGTAATAAAACAAAGTACTAAACTGTACTAAATTTGATAAAAAAAACTGACACAATTACACTTGCGAATTTTGCTGTGAGTGATATTTAAGCATCAGAGATTGTTGCCCATTATGAGTCCTATTTTCAGCCAATTACAGTGAACCCCCCAACTTACGAAAGCTTCATCTAACGGTAAAATCGACTTACGAAGCGTTTCAGCATAAAAAATTCCCCCCGACGTACAACAAAAACTCGACTTACATCAATTGTCCAGAACTCGTCTACACGTCCCTCTGGCCTGAGTGCAACTTAGCTGCCCTGCCTTCAGTTAGTGTGCCAATGTTTACAAGCCAGTGCGGTCGTTCCCACGCATACATTCGGTACATTTTGTATTATTCCAGTGATTTTAGTGCTTGTAACTGCTAAATAAACCACCATGAGCCCAAAAAAAGCTTCTAGTGCCAACCCTGTGGTAAAAAGGGGTGAAAATTACAATTGAAATGAAGAAAGAGATAATCACAAAATATGAGAGTGGAGTGAGTGTCTCCGAGCTGGCCAAGTTGTACAACAAACTGCAATCAACCATCGCTACTATCTTGGCCAACAAAAAGGCAATCAAGGAAGCTGTTGTTGCAAAAGGTGCAAGTATCTTTTCAAAACAAATACTCGAAGATGTTGAGAGACTGTTATTGGTGTGGATAAACGAAAAACAGATATCAGGAGATAGCATCACTCAAGCGATCACATGTGAAAAAGCAAGGAAGTTGCATGATGATTTAATTAAAAAAATGCCTGCAACTAGTGGTGGTGTGAGTGAATTTAAGGACAGCAAAGGGTGGTTTGAGAGATTTAAGAATTGTAGTGGCATACACAGTGAGATAAGGCATGGTGAGGCTGCCAGTTTGGACAAAACAGCGGCTGAAAAAATACGTGCAGAAATTCCAGGGGTACATAGAGGCTGAAGGATTGCAACCCAACAAGTGTTTAATTGTGAGTGAAACAGGCCTGTTTTGGAAGAAAATGCTAAACAGGACCTACATTACACAGGATGAAAAGGACTCCCAGACACAAGCCTATGAGGGACAGGGTTACTTTAATGTTGTGTAGTAATGCTAGTGTGGATTGCAGAGTGAAGCCTCTACTCGTGTATCACTCTGAAACTCCCAGAGTGTTCAGGAAAAACAATGTCATCAAGGCTAACTTGTGTGTGATGTGGAGGGCAAACAGTAAGGCATGGGTCACTAGGAACATTTTCTATGACTGGTTTTACCATGTGTTTGACCCCACTGTGAAAAATTACCTCCTGGAAAATAAACTGGACCTTAAGTGCCTCCCAGCATTAGACAATGCTCCTGCTCATCCTTCAGACTTGCCAGAGTGAATTTTGGGGGAGTTGAGTTTTATTAAAGTGAAGTTTTTGCCTCCTAATACCACTCCTCTCCTCCAGCCCATTGACCAGCAGGTCATTTCAAATTTCAAAAAACTGTACAACAAAGCAATGTTTCAAAAGTGCTTTGAAGTGACCTCAGACACTCAACTGACCCTAAGAGAGTTTTGGAAAGATTGCATAAACCTTATAGGTAAGGCTTGGGAGGGAGTGACTAACAGGACCTTGAACTCTGTTTGGAGGAAAATGTGGCCAAAATGTGTAGAAGAGAGGGATTTTGAAGGGTTTGGGGCTTACCCTCAGGAGCCTATGCCAGTTGTGGAATCTGTTGTGGCATTGGGAAAGTCCATGGGGTTGGAGATTAGTGGGGAGGATGTGGAAGAGTTGGAGGACGACGATGAAGAACTAACCACTGATGAGCTGCAAGAGCATCTGCAACAGCAAGAAGCCACAACTGAGGAAACTGCTTCAGACAAGGGGAGAGAGAAATTGAGGAAGTTGCCTACTTCAATGATTAAGGAAATGTGTACAATATGGACAAAGGCGCAAATCTTTATGGAGGAAAATCACCCTGACACAGCTATTGCAAGCCGTGTTGGTGACTTTTGACAATGACAATGTTGTGAACCACTTTAGGAAAATCTTGAAGGAACATGAGATACAGAGCTCTATGGACAGATTTTTGGTGCGACAAGAGGTCCAGTGACTCTCAAGTTGTTCCCAGTGGCATGAAAAGAAGAAGGGAAGTAACCCCGGAAAAGGACTTGCTACCAAAAGTCCTTATGGAAGGGGATTCCTCTTCCAAAACATAATAAGCCTCCATCTCTCCTCCTCCTCTCATCTCATCACTACATCTTCAATAAAGATAAGTGTCATTTATTTTTCATTTAGTACAGTACGTATATTGTGCATGTATCCTACTTTTTGTGTGTTGGAAAATGTGTATTTCATGTGGCAAAAAATTATTTTTTCATACTTTTGGGTGTCTGGAATGGATTAATTGGATTTCCGTTATTTCTTATGGGGCAAATTAATTCAACTTTCAATAATTTCATCTAACTATGAGCTCTCTGGAACGGATTAATATCGTACATTAATATTGTACATTGTTCCAATAGACCAAATTCTTAGCTATTTCACTAGTATGTGTTCCATTTTATCTATTGAGCACAAGAAATTACCCAATGAAGTATTTCAACTACCCAATACAGTGACTGGAATTTGGTTATTTGGCCAATTTCACACAAAGTTCAAAATATTCTAATTTCAAAATACAGTCCAGAATAAACAATGCAGGGATTCCTGGCACTAAAATAACATTTCCTCTGTTTACTACTTACGTTTCCAGGCTTTACAGATGAATTCCATTTTTATTTTTTATTCATATAAAGAATTTTTATTCGCACCAAAAATTAGAAGATTTACTGTTAAGCAATATTGTAATAATTGTATAAATAATATCAGTGCACTCATGAACTCACATTAGACTCACCAGCTGATGTATAGTGGATGTGTGATGTGATCTGTTTACTCCTGAACATCGGTAAAAATCAAACATTTCAGCAAATTTGAGCTCAAATTCAAGCTATTTTCAGTACCAAAATCAAGTAAAATGATCTCTGTTTCCATAATATATTTTCCATTCTATCAAATGAGACCAAGAAACCGTGAATACAACTCTAAAAACCATACCAAAATACACCGCAAAGTTGCTGTTTTAATCCAAAAATATGGTTGCATTTTTTTTCATTATGCACTGCATGCTGCAGGATTTGTTTTATATGAACACTTACCACATAAGATGCATTCTCTCATATCCATGCCCAAATTTACCACTCGCAGTTCATCTGAGTGAGCTGAGCTCATGACGTAGTACTGTGGCTTGAACCCTGGCTTCAAAGTCGTAGAACTACGGGACAGACCCCTCAAAGGGTTAAGCAACCAGTAACACATCACACATTCTAACCATGACATGTCTAAGCTACACAATCTTACTGCTTGTAAGCTCATTAAACAACCAGTAACATCACATGTTCTTTCAACTAACATTACACACTCCTGCCAACACATCATTAACCCTTTCAGGGTCAAGACCCCCCCATCCTGAACTCGCTTTCAGTCGAATTAAAAAAAAAAAATACATTTTCTTATGAAATGATACAGAATTTTTTCCCCGATGGTAATGACACCAAAAGTATGAAATTTGATCGAAAACTTACGGAGCTATACTCTCACGAAGTTAAGCAGTCTTGGTGATGTTTACGCATAAGCGATTTAGCCCACTTTGAGCCCTATTTTCAGCCAAATTTCCCAATGTTCCAGTTGACTAAAATTATGGCTTTTTCACTAGAGCTACATTTGTTCTATCGAATGAGTACAACAAACCGCCCATTTACTGATTCAACTACCGAATGAAGTGGTCAAAAATTGGCGATCTGGCCCAATTTCACACAAATTTCAAAAGATGCCAATTTCAAAATAGGGTCCAGAATAAACAAGACAGGACATTCCTGGCACTAAAATAACATTTTTCTCTGTTCATTAGTCATGTCTCCAGGCCCCTCTTATATTACTCTTGCTTTCCATTTTGAAATTTTATTCTCACAAAAAAACAGAAGATTTACTGCTATGCAGACTACTACATTATTGTAAAAATAATAAAAATAACATCAGCGCACTTGTGAAGGAATATTAGACTCACTAGTTGACATGTATTGGACACGTGGCATGATTTGTTTACTCCTGAACATTGGCAAAAATCGAACATTTCTGCTACTTTGAGCTCAATTTTAAGGTACTTTTCATTGTGAAATCAATCAACATCATCTCTATTTCTGTAAAAATATCTTCCATTCTATCAAATGAGACCAAGAAAAGAAGAATACAACCATAAATACCATACGAAAATACACTGTAAAGTCGCTGTTCTAAATTAAAAACATGGTTGGAATTTTTTCTTCTCATTATGCACTGCGTGCTGCAGGATTTTTTTTATACTGCACACACTGACCATGCAGACCCATTCTTTCATATGCAGGCCTATCAGCTTTCTTCCAGTCGATTTGAAGGCGCTAGAAATTTCATGTACAAGTACAGCACTGACCCTGAAAGGGTTAATAAAATATCCCATAAACTTTAAATGCACATGAGCATTCATAAGTTTTAATAATTATCATTGATTATTATTATTAAAACAAAAAACTAAGTGCTAAACCCACAAGGGTCATACAGCACTGCTTAACATCTTTGAACTTTTTCACATTTTAAGATTTGAACATGACTGACCTTGGTGGCTTCAGCAGCAGTTGCACATACATCCTTGTAGAACCACTTCATCTTCTCAGGATCCAGGTCCATCATCAGCACCTCCAGTGTTTCATCAGGTTCCCGGTGTGTCTTCCCAACTCTGTCAAATTCAGATTGCTGTTGATTTGAATTACACTACAAATTGAAAAAAAAAATGCCATAAATTACTTTTTTAATAAATTACTATTAATTGACTTTTTTAATAATTACAAAATTCCACATTTATCAGTGGAATAGGTTAAAAAGGTTCTAGAAACAAGATATTTATAAATCCTATATGTATAATGTAAGAAAATGTGTATTCTACATGGAAAGTTATGTCATCGAATGCAAAACAAATGAATGGTTGAAGTCTGGACCACCAACTGCAAGCAGGGCCATGCAGCCTCAAGAGTGACCTCACCCATATTTGGGTCAAACTCTGCACTATGCTCAATGAAACTTAGATGAAGACATGTGTTATTGCTAATAATGTCAGAAGAGGACAGTATTTTCTTCTTTGCTTCATGACTGTGCCAGAGGTAGAGCAGCCATGAAGTAGAGAACAAAACACTGTCCTCTTCTAACATTGTTATCCATCCAATACACAATCATGCGAGTCCCATATTTTAGCACTGAGATCAGCCCACAGGAAGCTTTCTTACCCATTTGCAAAACGACCGTTAAAAAACATCTTATCTCCCTAACACACCCTATCATCAGCTAACCAAATGAAAACCACCTAATTCTCTTAGTATCATGAACACATTCAAAACAATACAGTGGACCCCCGCATAACGATTACCTCCGAATGCGACCAATTATGTAAGTGTATTTATGTAAGTGCGTTTGTACGTGTATGTTTGGGGGTCTGAAATGGACTAATCTACTTCACAATATTCCTTATGGGAACAAATTCGGTCAGTACTGGCACCTGAACATACTTCTGGAGTGAAAAAATATCGTTAACCGGGGGTCCACTGTATAGTCTTATTTTCATTATCTGTAATTTCCCCTAATTTACACAAACATCCACCCAAATGACTGTAAACATAAAATTCCGAATATAGCTAATGCCTCTTAAATCTTAAGTTAGTACTAAGTTTGCCAAAGATACTCTTCCAATATATGGGCTTTAATAGAAACAGTGTATCATGCCAGGACAAATCCAATCCCATTACTAAATTTACCATTTGCAATATTATTATATGTTTTGTACTACTGCACTATTATAAATCTAATTATGTATGTACCTAATTATGTATCTAATAATGTATGTTAAAATGTACTGCACCATAACCTATATCAATATAGAGTAAAAATTAGTATTAGTCTGCCCGAAATGCCTAGCCATGCTAGTGCCCTTCTTTGTGTGGTTTACCACACACACTGTAAGCTTTACAAGGAAAAACTTTTTTATTTTCATTTCCAAAGTCTAGATTTTACCCATCTGTTGCCATGTTGCAAAGATCAAAAGTCTGTCCTGTAGCTGATGTCATTACCATCCATGTAGACTGTATTTAGAAAAATTGACATTCAGAGTTTGATGCTCATGTGGGTCCTTTTGTGGAGTACAGGAAAAAAATCTGAACACTGCATTTGTATAAATTATGTATTCGAGTTTGCTAGAGAGAGAGGGAAAGGAACCTCTAATTCTTAACTTTTGACCAACTAATGAGAATTAGCCCAGTCACATCTATTACTGAACCCCTGTACAAAAATTGGTCTTATCTCGGTAGGCAGTGCAACTCCCCCCCCCAAATAAAAAGCAAGGGCACCATGAATACACTAAGAGACAACACAATAAGTGGAAGGAGCCCAAGATTATTCAACTACCTCCCAACATACATAAGGGTTATTACCAATAGACCCCTGGCTGTCTTAAGAGGGAGCTCGACATGCGCCTAAAGTCAGTTCTCGGCTAACCGGGCTGTAGTTCATACGTCAGTTTGCACATGGCCAGTAGTAACAGTCTGGTTAATCAGGCCCTGATCCACCACAAGGCCTGGTCATGGTCGGGGCCATTGACCCCTGCAACACCCTCTAGGTATACTCCAGGTATCTGTCATTATTCAACTCACTCCTTTTCTTTATCACTCTTTTAGTGAAGAGATGTTTTTTAATATCACTGACTTAGTTGGCTGCGAGATTTCAAAGCATGTTTCCTTGTTCATTTTGCATCTGATACAAAACCTAACTTTGTCTACAAATGCCCCATAGTAATTGTTTTTTGAACACAACGTCAGTCTCCCACCGAGGTAGGGTGACCTGAAAAAGTAGGAAATTTATAAAGGAAAATGGTTTACTAGCCCCTTGCTCCTGGCATTTTAGTCGCCTCTTACAACACACATGGATTACAGACAAAGAAGTCTTGTCCACTTCCCCATGGAGCCATAGTATTTTATATACAGTAAATGATTTACAAACCAACAGTTGATGGATGAGACTTGTGCAACATTTGGGTATCTTCACTGTGGAAACATTTCACCAGTCAGTGGCTTCCTCACTCCAGTACAGAGAAGAATACTATTTTGTATGTTGTGATCATATCCTCATTTGTGCTTCATTCCTACAGTGACTTAACCCTTTGAGGGTTTCGGACGTACTAGTACGGCTTACACGCAGGGGTTTTTGACGTACTAGTACGCATAAATTCTAGTGCCGTCAAATCTCGCGGGAAAAGGCTGGTAGGCCTAGATGTGAGAGAATGGGTCTGTGTGGTCGGTGTGCGTGGTAGAAAAAAAATCTGGGACCCAGTGGTGCATTGTGGGAACGCCATCTTAGTAAACAATGTCCACCATGCCTCGCGGTAAGAAGCTCCTCACTCCTCGGCGAATTGGGACACTTTTGTTCCCCAGTGACAGTTCTAATACAGATGGAAGTGCCAGTGAAGATGAGTTTCAAGGTTTTGGTGAGGGTTTGACCGAAACTAATGACCATAATATCGGTAATAGTAAGGAAAACTCAGACGACCCTCAGCCTTCCACCTCTGGCGCTGGGCCATCTTGTTCACGTTCAGTTGTACCAGAATCAAAGAGGAAACTCCTATTTTCCCAAATCCCAGACTCAGATGAGAGCATTTGTGATGATAGTGATAGTGAATATGAACTACAAGCTCTTCAAACTAGTTCCAGTAGTGATAGTGAAGTGCAATATTCCCCAGTGAAGCGTCAGTATATACGACGATATATGCACTCTGGTAGTGTGCCATATGCTATTCCAAGGGGAAGGAGTACATCTCGGAGTACATCCCGTGGCTGTACAACAGGAACAGACAAGTGAAAATGACGTTGATACTGTTGCAATTGGGATGGAAAATGTGCGTGGTGGTAGTGGTGCCGGCGGTGAGGCACCAGCAGTGGGCCATGCTGCCACCCACGCCGCTGCCTCAGCTGATCTACAACAAAGGCCACCATCCCCCACCCACCCACTACACCAGCCTCCACAACCACAACCTCCACAACCACAGCCTCCACAACCACAACCACCTGTCATTGTCCAGTACCCACCAGCAGACCGCACCTGGGATTGGCAGGAAGCTGTCAATTTTGTTCCAAATCCCCACCAGTTTGATGACAGCCAAAGTGGAATACGGCCATCTTGTACACTTGGGAACAATGCCACTGAACTGGAATGTTTCGAGTTATTCTTTGACGAACCCCTGATGGAAAGTATTGTCATGGAAAGCAACACATACTACGAGTACACCATGGCAAACACATTACTCTCACCAAAATCACGTCTACAACCAGTGGAAGGAGGCAACTGTGTCTGAGATGTATCTTTTCTTTGCCACAATAATGCTTAAGCCACATGTGTATAAGCACAAAGTGAAAATCATACTGGTCAACAGACCGCCTGATTGCAACCCCAGGTTTCAGTGATATAATGCCAGTGAATCGATTTGTGCTAATGTTACATATGCTTCACTTCTCAGACAAAACCAGGCCTGACAGAAACGACAGGTTATGTAAGATTAGGAATGTGTTTTGTGTATCTGAAGGAGAAATTCAGTACGCATTTTTATCCCTTCAGGAAGCTTATAATTGACGAGTCTTTGATTCTGTTTTAAAGGAAGACTCTCTTTCAAGCAGTACATACCAAGCAAGAGGAAACGCTTTGGTATAAAGTTGTTTGTGCTTTGTGATTGTTACAGTGGTCTGGTATTGGATATTATTGTGTGCACTGGAAGTTATACATTGCAAAATACCAGGAAGTTACTGGGCATCTCTGGTGATGTGGTTAGAACAATGATAGAACCATACCTTGGTAAGGGGCATATATTATATACAGATAACTGGTACACAAGCCCCTCACTCAGTGTTTTTTTGCAAGTGAACATGACAGATGTGTGTGGCACAGTGCGTGCAAATCGGGAACATATGCCCAGGTTTGATGCTGGCACTCGTAGAGGTGAGGTGCAGGCATTTGCTGCCAATGACATCATGGCATTTCGGTGGCATGACAAACGAGATGTCACACTGTTGTCATCAGTTCACCCTAATGAAATGGCAGACAGTGGCAGGCAGCATAGAGAGAGCAATGAACCCATTCTAAAACCTGCAGCTGTGATTGATTACACCTTCACCATGCATTCAGTGGACAAATGTGACATGCAGATTGGGTTTGCTGATTGTGTTTGCAAGAGTTATAAGTGGTACATCAAACTCTTTTTCCATCTTCTGGACATTTTCCATGCTCAATGCTTATAATATGTATAAGATGAAGACCAGAAACAAACCACAGTACGGTTGAATTCGTTTGTCTGTCATCAGACAAATAGTATTCAAGTACCAAGAAGAACACCTGCAATTGACCGCCCACCAAATTATCAACAACTACCTGCTCGTCTGAAGCATGGTGATCACTTCCTAGTAAAACTGCCTGCTACTGCTTTCAAGAAAAAGGCTCAGAAGAGGTGTTACGTATGTGCACATACAAACGCCCACAACAACGCAGAGACACTCGTTTTATGTGTGAGGAATGTAAAACACCACTGTGCATGACACCATGTTTCAAAGAGTTCCAGAGGCTGCAGAACTTCTAGAAACATTCCCTGTGACTGTATATGTGTATATAAAATATAGAAAAATAGTAATAAACAACATTTCATATCGTTTATTTGTGTAAATATTTTCTATAAACAAAATAATGACAACAGTGTTTAGGCCCTTATTGTGTAGTATTGAAAAATAAATAACTTACAAAATACTGATCATATTGGTCTCAGAGGCCATAAAAGTTGCTCAGAAAAAGAAAAATTGAAAAATAATTGAAAATAGTACATAAAATAGTAAATAGAAAAATACCGGGTGACGGCAGTCGGTGATGTTACCAGATGTTGTTCAATTTTGGCAAACTTCACGCCTCCATATCTTGGTAAGTATTGATGGTAAAATTTTTTTGTTTAGCCTATAATGTTTAGAAAAAAAAACTTTTTCATAAGAAATTTTTTTTTTTTTTTTTTTTGAAATTTGGCCGACCCTGAGAACGAGTCTCTGAGAGGGCCTGTCGACCCCTCAAAGGGTTAAAGACCTAGTTCTTTCATCACAGCTAGATTCCCTCAATTCAGGCATTAGTCTTAGTGCAGTCATTACATTTTCTGAAGCGTCACTGTATTTTACTGTATTTTCACACTGTTATGTCATACCTTTGATATATACCTTTGAAGAGTTTCGAGTGTTTCACTGCTCTCGGAGCCTGGCCATTCTTGTGTTTGGAAGCTTAGCCTGTGCTACATTTATTCTGTTTATGCACACTACATGGAACAGGTACTGGACAATATTTAATCCCAGGTCTTTTTCTTTAACCATTTCCCTAAACATCACCTCATACCATCTCCATTTCATCTAAATGGTACTTTGTCTTTAGCATCTTTTTTTTCCTTCTCACAGTTTGACAAATCTGCATCTGCTTAATCCTAATAACCATTTATTGGACCATTCTTGAACTCAATTTAAATCTCAGTGCAGTATTTTTTTTTCCAACCTCTTTATTGTGTGTGTGAGGTCATTACCACAGTTTTCTTGCTTATTGCAAAACAAGCATCAGCAACTGTTGTAAAGTTTTCCTTGGCAAACTGTTAGTTTTAAACTGGTATGAGAGGGAAGGATTTGGAGACATGGTTACCTTTCTGTTTTTTAAATAACACAGCAAATAATGTATGCCATTGTTGTCACATATATTCCAGTTCTAGGAGTGTAATAATGTACTCAGTACTTTACTATTAATGAAACTGTCATTCACAGAAATGATGTATAGAGATAACATGAATATGAAGAAAAATAATAAGATACAAAACAAATGCGTCTAAATGAAGACAGTAACTGAAGTGCTACTAAAGAAATCTCTTTAGTTAAAATTTCATATGGCTTCCAAAGTCAATAACACAAGCAGACATTATCAACTCATATACTGTAGAAAATTGAAAACCGTTGAAGAATTCCAGTATACCTATTATGAGGGAGGTTATGGCGGGCTGCATTAGGACGGTATCGTTGACGACCTGGTGATACAGTATACAGATACCAACAATCAGCTCGGTTCACACTCCCCATGCAATATGCTCGGCCACCTATAGAAACGAAAATTAAAAATATGCTGTATACCTACAAAATATATATGCACATTACAATGAAATACTTAAATATGAATAACAACAAGAAGTAATAAAACCATAAAATTAAACATTAATGCCTGTCTTAAGGAATAAAATTGAGAATGCTAAATACAAACTTTGAAAGTACTGCACTGAATATAAATATTGGTCCATTTTGAGAGCCAATGGTGTAAACATAAATGGATAGCCAAATACGCTGTCAATGAGATGGGAAATAACAGTGAAAAAATATAGCATAATACCGTACCATTCCAAGTTTGCACTGTATTACATCACATAACATATTTTTTTTAACACATCGGCCATTTTCCACTGAGGCAGGATGACACACAAAGAAAGAAAAACACAAAAAGAAACAAACAACTTTCATCATCATTCAACATTTTTACCATCACTCATACATAATCAGTGTCTTTGCAGAGGCGCTCAGATACGACAGCTTAGATGTCCTTTCAAACTGCCAATATCCCAAGCTACTCCTTTAAAGTGCAGGCATTATACTTCCCATTTCCAGGACTCAAATCTGGCTAACTGGTTTCCCTGAATCCTTCACAAAATATTACCCTGGTCACATTTCAACAGCTCTCAATCCCAAAAACCATATCGTCTCCATACACTCCTATCTAACACGCTCAAGTACACTTGCAGGAAGTCCAAGCCCCTCGCCCACAAAACCTGTTTTACCCTCTCCCTCCAACCTTTTCGAGGATGACCCCTATCCTCCCTCCCTCCCCCTACAGATTTATATGCTCCCCAAGTCATTCTACTTGTTCCATTCTCTCTAAATGACCAAACCACCTCAACAAACCCTCTTCAGCCCTCTGACTAATACTTTTAGTAACTCCACACCTCTTGATAACTTCCACACTACGAATTCTTTGCATAATATTTACACCACACGTTGCCCTTAGACAGGATATCTCCACTGCCTCCAGCCTCCTCCTCACTGCAGCATTTACAACCCATGCTTCACACCCATATAAGAGTGTTGGTACCACTATACTCTTATACACTCCCTTCTTTGCCTCCATGGATAATGTTTTTTGTTTCCACAGATACCTTAATGCACCACTCACCTTTTTTCCTTCATCAATTCTATGGTTAACCTCATCCTTCATAAACCCATCTGCTGACAAGTCAACTCCCAAGTATGGTAGTACCTCCGTACTCAAAATTAATTTGTTCCAGAAGACTGTTCAAGTGCCGATCTGTGCAAGTACTGATTAAATTTTTCCCATGAGGAATAACGTAAATTAGATTAATCTGTTTCAGACTCCCCAAAAATACACCTACAAAGGCATTTTAACACAAAGTTTACAAGTCTAGCATGCATAAATCTAAAAAAGAAAAAACTAAACACATTGCTTGTCTATCTGACCGATAGATAAGCAAAGGTTTCACTTTTAAGGGGTGGCTGACACTCCGTGCGCCTATGGCATGCGGATTAAAACAAATGGAAAAAATACAAAAAATGAGTTATGCTTACAGAAAAATACCTTAATGATCTGGCAACATTTTGATGTAAGTCTCATGTTTGTACAATGAATTATAGTCATTTTACATAAATTTATTGAATTATATGACTGAACATGAAGTGAATTTTATGATTTTTTCAGATTTTTTATTTTTTTTTAATTTTTCTGTATTACATTAAATTCACCATCTAACATCATTATGAAGTAGGAGGAGCTATAGGAAAGAGTGAGGGACCAGCAGAAGGAGCATTCAGTATCTGATGAGTCGTCTTGATAGCCGGATACTAGTAGTAGCGTGAATAAAATATTGTGCAATTACACTAGTATTAGAAATAATGGTTATCTTTCATGTTTATTCCAACTTGATATCAGAAACATGATTGATAACCTAGAAGCACAATAAAGATGCCAAAATTAATAATAAAAGGCATAGAGCCTCTCCTCACTTAACCCTTAACCCTTTCAGGGTCCGTCCTGTAGATCTACGGCTTTACGTTCAGGGTCCAAACCGTAGATCTACGCCATGAGCTCAGCTCACTCTGATAAACTGTGAGTGGTACATTTGGGCCTAGATATGAGAGAATACATCTATGTGGTATGTGTGCACCACATAAAACAGATCCTGCAGCACACTGTGTATAATGAGAGAAAAAAAATGAAATCATGATTTTTCGATTAAAACAGCAACTTTGCAGTGTTTTTTTCGTATGTTTTTTATAGTTGTATTTGCGATTTCTTGGTCTCATTTGATAGAATGGAAGACATATTACAGAAATAGAGATGATTTTGATTGGTTTTAGCATTGGAAAATGGCTTGAAACTGAGCTCAAAGTAGCGGAAATGTTAAATTTTTGCCAACATTCAAGAGTAAACAAACGACCTCACACATCTAATACACGTCAGCTGGTGGGTCTAATATACATTCACAAATATGGTGATGATATTTTATACAATTATTACAGTATTGCATAAGAGTAAATCTTCTATTTTTTGGTGTGAATAAAAATTCATTATGTGAATAAAAAATCAAAATGGAATTTATTGTAAAGCCTCAAACATAACTAATGAACAGAGGAAATGTTAGTTTAGTGCCAGGAATGCCTACATTGTTCATTCTGGACCCTATTTTGAAATTGGAATATTTTGAACTTTGTGTTAAATTGGCCAAATTAACAATTTCCGATCACTTTATTTGTAGTTGAAACAGTTGACTTGGCGATTTCTTGTTGCTCAATCGATAGCAATAGAAGAATACTAGTGAAATAGCTAAGAATTTGGTTGATTGGAATAATGTAATTGGCCTAAAATGGGAGTCAAAGTCGGCAAAATCGCCGATTCGTAAATATCGCTGACACATCAAAATTCGCGAGAGCATAATTTCGTCAATTTTCCACCAAATTTCGTACTGTTTGTTTTATTACCTTCACAAAAAGATTCTCTACGATTTCATAAGAAAAAATAACAAATTTTTTTTGTGAAAATTCTTGGACACTGGTGCGTGACTCCAGATTTGGGCCTTGGACCCTGAAAGGGTTAAGCTGTCCAATGTAGATCTACGCTTACTCGTCCAGCGCTTTGAATATTTTGAAAAAAGAGAAAAAAATCTTTTTTCTTTTTTTTTTTTAACCTTTTCAGGGTCCAGAGGCCAAATTTCAAAGTGCACACCATGGTCCAAGAATTTTCAAAAAATAATTTTGTTATTTTTTCTTATGAAATGGTAGAGAATCTTTTCCTGAAGGTAATAAAACAAAAAGTACAAAATTTGATGGAAAACTGACGAAATTATGCTCTCGCGAATTTTGATGTGTCAGCAATATTTATGCATGGGCGATTTTTGCCGATTTTGACTCCCATTTTAGGCCAATTACAGTATTCCAGTCAACCAAATTCTTAGCTATTTCACTAGTATTACTTCTATTCTATCGATTGAGCACAAGAAATCGCCAAGTCAACTGTTTCAACAACAAAATAAAGTGATCGGAAATTGGTAATTTGGCCAATTTAATGCTAAGTTCAAAATATTCCAATTTCAAAATAGGGTCCAGAATGAACACTGCAGACATTCCTGACTCTAAAATAACATTTTCTTTGTTTATCAGTCACATCTCCAGGCCCCTCTGATATTACTCTTGCTTTCTATTTTGAATTTTTATTCAAACAAAAAATAGAAGATTTACTGTTACGCAGACTACTGTAATATTGTAATAATTGTATAAATAATGTCAACCCATTCATGACTGCATATCAGAATAGCTAGTTGGACATTTATTGGACAACGACATCATTTGTTTACTTTTGAACATCGGCAAAAATCAAACATTTCCCCTACTTTGAGCTCCATTTCAAGGTTCTTTTCATAGTAAAACCAATCAAATCACCTCTATTTCTATAATATGTTTTCCATTCTATCAAATGAGACCATGAATATGAGAATACAACCATAAATACTATATGAAAATACACCACAAATTCGGCGTTTTAATCCAAAAACATGGTCAGAGTTTTTTTTTCTCATTATGCACTGCGTGCTGCAGGATTTTTTTTATATGGTGCACAATGACCATACAGACCCATTCTTTCACATGTGGGCCTACCAGCTTTCTCCTGCTTGATTTGAAGCCGCTAGAATTATTTAGTATATATACGTCAAACACAGTGGCTCGTAAGACGTATATATATGACCGAAACAGTCAAAGGGTTAATGCCATATTGTTAAACTTAATTTTTTTTTTTTTTCAACAAGTCGGCCATCTCCCACCTAGGCAGGGTGACCCAAAAAAGAAAGAAAATCCCCAAAAAGAAAATACTTTCATCATCATTCAACACTTTCACCACACTCGCACATTATCACTGTTTTTGCAAAGGTGCTCAGAATACAACAGTTTAGAAGCATAAAGATACACAACATATCCCTCCAAACTGCCAATATCACAAACCCCTCCTTTAAAGTGCAGGCGTTGTACTTCCCATTTCCAGGACTCAAGTCCGACTATATGAAAATAACCGGTTTCCCTGAATCCCTTCACTAAATATTACCCTGCTCACACTCCAAAAGATCGTCAGGTCCCAAGTACCATTCGTCTCCATTCACTCCTATCTAACACGCTCACGCACGCTTGCTGGAAGTCCAAGCCCCTTGCCCACAAAACCTCCTTTACCCCCTCTCTCCAACCCTTTCGAGGACGACCCCTACCCCGCCTTCCTTCCCCTATAGATTTATATGCTTTCCATGTCATTCTACTTTGATCCATTCTCTCTAAATGACCAAACCACCTCAACAACCCCTCTTCTGCCCTCTGACTAATACTTTTATTAACTCCACACCTTTTCCTAATTTCCACACTCCGAATTTTCTGCATAATATTTACACCACACATTGCCCTTCAACAGGACATCTCCACTGCCTCCAACCGTCTCCTCGCTGTTGCATTTACCACCCAAGCTTCACACCCATATAAGAGTGTTGGTACTACTATACTT